ATATATATATATATATATATATATATAAACAGAAATTGCTAAATATTATACATTTTTTAAACAAAAACAAACAAAAAAATTGATTAAATCACTATTCAATTACTACTAAATTACTAAATATGTGCAGAAATATAAAGCTGACTGTTGTTTCATGCATTTCTGTCAAGACACAAACGGACGTTCCTCTGTTTGCTTTCCACCTAACAAATACTCAGCATATAGTCCATAGTACATTAGATAGTAAATATGCTATCTAACACGATTTAGCAAGACACATTTCATTCGGGACAACTCAGATGGAACCTGCATGATAAGAGCCTGAAGTTACTGCTGAGATCTTATAACTGTTGCTTAAATTTATGACTCAGAATCATTTTAGCTTTTCACATTTGCTTGTTGATTAGAACAGGCAGGTTAAATTTCACCAGCCGGCTCTCGCTCTATATGAACCAGTTTGAAGTGTCTCTTTGATTTGATTTGGCTTTGAAAAGAGCCTGTTTCGGCTGAGAACATCAAGGGATAAGAAGTCAACTGCTTTTCCATTGACACCTCCCCTGCAGGAGTATTGAGTCTGGTGGGCTTGGAGAGCTACTCCTCCTTTTGGCCTCCTCCGACCGTTCTTGGTTCGCCAGCACCTCCAGATCTATTGTGAGCTAACTGGAAAACCTGGCAAGCCTGGGTAACTGTTTACACTTGATGCACTTGAATACTGCCAAACTACCACTGGGTGGTAGCAGGTGGGGTTCAGTGCTGGCAAACTGATAAGCACATTGACCTGGACACAAACAGCTAGCGATCAATTCCGAAGCCAATGAACCACACAGGAGAGCCGGGAAGCATTGAGGCATATCAGAGAATTATTGGGTTGGCATCAGGATGAATCAGGTGGTGTGAGAGCTGGAAAAATGTTCAAAACTATGATCTGCACTGGATTCTCAGGATTGATGAGCACAGTGATGTACAGTTCCTCTGTTACAGCATCGCATCAGGAGGTAGAGGAAGTCTTTTGCTACTGAAACACTGAGAAATGTGTTATATAACTACAGAATCAAACCTAAGTGCAGCTTTCATATACTTTCATGTCTGCTCATGCACCAGACAAATATATCATCCTAGCACCTCATTTGCGTGAGAGTGGCTGTCTCTTATGTGCCTCTTCCAGTCCTTTAACATTTCCAAAGATCAAAGGCTCAACAAATATCTGTTATAATTACAGTGGGGTCCAAAAAACAGAGGCCACAAGTAAAACCATTGCACAATAAGATTCATTAACTTATGCATTACATATCTTGAACTAACAATGGACAAAACTTTAACAGCATTTATTAATTGTTAATAAAGTTAAGTTATATATAGATAATTCAACACATTTTAACATTTCATTTAATCAATGATATAAATTAAACATATAATTCTATAAAATAAAGAATTTTAATTAAAACTGAACAGTACACTTTTTTTGAAAGAAATAAATTAATAGTTTTATTCAGTAAGGACACACTAATTTGTGTAATTAAATAAATGTTATAAATGTTATTATTAAATAAATAAATGTAAAATTATTTAATGTAAAAAAAAAATAAGTAAAAAAAAGTTAAACAAAATTGTTGAAATAAATGCTGTTCTTTCTTTAACTTTCTGTTTACCAAAGAATACTGAAAATGAAAAAAAAAAACTGAAATATATAATTTTTTATGTTTTGAGTTTCAGTTTTGATAATAAGAAATGTCATTATTAGCATATTATAATTATTTCTGAAGGATCATGTGACAATGAAGACTGTAGTAGTGACTGCTGAAAAATCAGATTTACATCACAGGAATAAATTACATTTTATTATTATTTTTTTTTTTATTGTAATAATCTTTCACAATATTGAGGCTTTTACAGTACTGATTGAACAAATAAATGCAGCCTTGGTGAGCATAATAGACTCTCCCACCTTCAATACCACGACTGAGGTGCCCTTGAGCAAGGCACTGAACCCCCAACTGCTCCCCGGGCGCCGCAGCATAAATGGCTGCCCACTGCTCCGGGCGTGTGTTCACGGTGTGTGTGTGTTCACTGCTGTGTGTGTGCACTTTGGATGGGTTAAATGCAGAGCACAAATTCCGAGTATGGGTCACCATACTTGGCCACATGTCACGTCACTTTTTCTTTTCTTTCACACTCTTGGACGTTCCGTGATCCATTGCATCTCAGATATGATTTAATGTCAGCCACATCCATGCTGAAAGCTTTATTTGTTGTTTTTGTTTTTGAATGAGAGGAACGCTTTGTCCCTTTCTCAGAGAAACTAACTGATTGATTAAATTACCATCTAATCATGGTAATTTAGGATCCTGACACATCTTGTTGAACGTGTTCCTAGCCAGAGATGCTCAGATAACCACTAGCACGCTACGATCCTTGATGGATCCCAGTAATAATTGCAAGCTGCTCCTGGTGACAGCTTCAATGTAAAATTGCTGTTGACTTTAATACAATTGCTTTTTGCTAACAAAGTGACAAAGGTTATTCTTAACATGATATGATGTGATAATTATTCACAGATAAATGTTCGCTCCACTTTACCATCGAAATGCATGCAGTGACAAGCGTATGCGGGTTTGAAAGTAAAAGAAAGATACAGTCATCAAATGAACATCCACATCACTAAACATAAAGTCTAATGTCACTTTTACAGTTTACTTGTATTATATCATTTTAAAAAGTACCTGCAATAAATTAAAAAGTCACATAAAAATAAGTCGCAAATATCTTGGGCTTAACAAATTATACTTTTAGGATCAGGTTATCCACAACTAGCTTGTGATATGATATCATCATGATACATATGTCACATTTCAATGCATTGCAGTGCATCATAACATCATAAATTGGATTGCGACAAACTACATCAAACACATGAGAGCTGATAGATCAGATTCAATCTCTCGTACCTCACAGAAATGTCTCTGACCGCGCTGAGATAAGTCTGCCAGTTTGTGCTTATTTGGATGACTTGCTTCTTCATTTATCGATCTGCAGGACATGCTATGAATGCACAAAATAAAAATATTGGTAAAAGGATCTAAAATACAATATCATGACAACAAATATTGCTCTATTTATATGATTGCATCAGCACAGCCCTAATACTGTTACTACTAAAAGTAATATTTCTCTAAACCGTAAAGAATAGCAAGTGGTGGGCCAAAGGTTCATACTCCTTGTACAAATCCTTCCAGGTTCAAATCCCATGCGAAAACACACACTATTAATCAAGTAAAATTGCATTTCTGTGCTTGGTATAATCTGGTTGTAATCGAATTAGCGATTCCACTGATTTGATGAACTTGACCCTACAGCAGTGGTGAATTTAGCCATGACTGGTAACATTACCTAAAAAGCCTGAAAATCTATTTCAGATCACTAATTTAGAACTGAGAGTCCCATATTAATAAATATGTCATGTACACTACACGTGCTCATGAGTTTTAAATAATTACTTTTTTATGTTGTTTTTTTTTTAAGAAGTCTTTTATGCAACAAGGCTGCATTTATTTGATTAAAAATACAGTAAAAACAGTAATATTATGACATATTATTACAATGTAAACTAACTGTTTTCTATTGTAATGCATTTTAAAATGTAATTTATTTCTGTGATGGAAAGCTGAATTTTCAGCATCATTACTCCAATCTTCAGTGTCACTCTAACATGCTGATTTGCAGCTCAATTTTGGCTCTTAATAATGATTCTTATTATTAACATTGAAAAGTTTAGATTTTTTGCTGCTTAAGTTTTTTGTGGAAGTCTTTTTTCAGGATTCTTTGGAAAATAGAAAATGCAAAAGAACAGTATTTATTTGAATTAGAAATCTTTTGTAACAGTATAAATGTTTTTACGGTCACTTTTGATCATTTTAATGCATCCTTGATGAATATAAGTAATTCATCACAGTTCCCAAAAAAAAATATTAGGTAGCATTGTTTACAACATTGATAATGTGCTAAACATTTAATGAAAGATGTTGCACAAATATTCATGAAATAATTTATTATTTAATATTACAATATTAATTAACTCAATACTCAGTGTATGCAGGTACCTCAATTCCAACAGATTTTAAAATCAAGGTAAAAAAAAAAAAAAAAATGTTTTTGCCTTCCCTCAAGACAGAAAAAAAAAGAGAGTCTGCATGCATGCATATCTGCTATGACAGCTATATAGTTTGCAATTCCACATCTCTGACTGGACATGCTGTGAATATACAGGCGTTATTATTAGAACGACAGTATTCCTCAGCAGCCGTAGAGCATTTTAGAGGATGTATTAAGGATTTATGTTTCTCCGCTTTCACCAAACATCCTCTCAGATACCAAACAGGGGTCAAAACAGGGTCACTGATATCTCTAGAGGACTAGATATTCCACAAAATGTATATTGTAGCTATTTTACGTTTAAAAAAAAACGAATTTAAATATCTGTTTCTTGGCTATACAACTGAATTCTCTGTTGTTGTTTTTTTCAGTTGCAGGTGATGAATCTACTACCCGGTTGACCTGAGTCATTTCTCCAGCAAGGGGAGTGGTACAGCGCCAGACCCCTGACCTCTCCTCAGTCCCCACTGGCTTCACGCTCCAGCTCGTGAGCCTTGGAGCCTCGGAGCCCTGGATCTCTTGTCTCTCACCTCCCCTTTTTCCTCTGGACCTTGACGTGGGAACAGCGCCGTAACAGACCGCCCAATGCTGAGGAGGAACTGCCTGCTGCTGTTCCTGTGCTTCCTCTTTGAGCAGAGCTCCTGCGCTCCCTTCCAAAGCAGGCCAGGGCAAGAGTGGCCCCACAGCCAGACGGGGCCATCGGCGGCAGGAAGGAATGGAGGTTCCAGAGGATTCCAGAGGGTCAAGAGGGGCTGGGTGTGGAACCAGTTCTTTGTGCTTGAGGAGTACATGGGCTCGGACCCACAGTATGTTGGAAAGGTAAGAAGCGCACTTTGAACATGATTGCATTTCAGTTGCAACACTGGTTAATAACTGTAACAGCTTTCGGAAGTCATACTCTGCTGAGCCAAAGTCAGTGCCCGATCTGTCGGCCTTAATTCCTTTCATTTGTTTAATCCAGACCCACTGCTTATATTCGCTGGTCTTAATTTATTAACACATTCTGTTCCATATTAAACTCAGAGACTCAGTTTGTTAAACCAAAAGCACATGGACTGCAATCTGCCAGTAGATGCTTTTGTACCATGACTTACAAGATAGTTATGTAACAGCCTACCCATTTGGAATACTGTAACAGTGTTTGATAAACATCAAGGAAAATTAAATCACTGATTTCAGAAGTAATACAAACTCAGTTGAGTAAGACCAGGAAGACAGAATCGACAAATTCGGTCTCATTCACTAACCATGCATACAAACATATGTGCATAAAACCTGGGTGCAGCATTTTCATGCAAATCGCAATTCATTTAGAATCTAAATTTAGAACCAACTCAGACCACAGTTATGCCAAGCATAAATAGATCAATAAAATGTACAATGAATTAGTGCAAACCTATTATATATATATATATATATATATATATATGTATAAACTAAAAATACTTCTTGTCTGAGTTACATGCAAATATTAGTGAATGAAAAGTGAACGTTTTTTTTATTCTTTGCATAACTGTCAGAACAAATATAGGCTAATTCACACTGTGGTTTCTGGCTGACTGTTTTAGTCTGTTACTCCAGAAAAACGCTTGGTACATAAAATGTTTAATTAAAGAAGAAAAAAATCATGTTTATGGTAAATATATCAGCACATACTGGAAGCGACAAAATCCAACCACAAGACAATACAGACAGGGAAACTTTGCCATTAATTCTTATAATGATGCAGCTGACAGGTCAAATAATGTAATTTTTCTATTGTATTGCATGTACACAAATCTGTCATCAGGTGAAAATTGGCTTTTAGCATGATGCAGACGTTTTGGTGGAAGACATGTACACGCTGACAGTGATCTTTAATCACAAACCATTCATATTCAGTGGTGCATTTCCAAATATGCGGTCATAACAATACAACATGAAGCTGGAATCTAATTTTCATGCAGAAAAGTGCCGTAGCCTTCCAAAGAACATCGCCTTTAGCAGATCATAACCCGACCTGATCTTTCCACACACTTATCAAGTAAAATGAGACATTTCAGTATGAATATTATTTCACGTTAGTAAGATGCATCGCTGATGGGCCTCGCCTCTGTGTCACTGTCGCCTACTTTTTCCAAATACATACAGACATGTGGAGAGGAAGAGACTAAACAAATCTCCCAGAGTGAAGTTCCTTCTTAGTAGTGATTAGAGCTTCATTTTGTGCCAAATTCATCTTAAAACAGATGGCTTCGTCCCCTGCCGAGCCAAGCATGATTAGAACACCTCGCTTTATCTAACATTTAAAGAGGATTTTCCCTCTAATGAAGTATGAACTTGTGCCCTCCACTCTTTACCCAGTTTTAATGGAGCAAATCACCTGAACATCCTTTATGTCACTCCGAGGAGAAGGAAACGACATATTAGCATTTGCTTAACTTTTTATTTTGAACTATACTGTCAGGTTTCCTAGTACAGGATTTTCTTCACTTTCTGCAAGAGCTGTTTCATTATCAAGCAAGTAAATGTGAATTTGCCAAGAGAAGTAGGAGAAACAAAGAAAAAGGTGACAATGGAATGCTCAAGGCCACAATACACCAGCAAACATGACTCGGGGCACAGAAGGAATACTTCACCAACCTTTGGCGGCGTCTGCTTTGCATACTTTTCAGAGCGGTTTGCGTAAGACGTCTTAATCAGGACAATGAGCCAAAGTAGCAGCAAAGATGATTAGCATAATGCAAGATAAATAAATAAACACAGTAATGCCACAATGCGCATTCAATGAGTTCCGAGACCGTAGTAGATCATGGCTGGGGTTTAGAGGTAAGAGGAAATGCAAGAAAGCTTTTCTTTCGGATTGCTTTGTTTTTACATTGAACCAGGGACTGGCTTTTGTCTATTTTGGATTCATAAATGCAAGACTCTCGTAACATTTGTTTACTGCTGTGTGACAGAGAGTGGGTGGGGGGGATCTGTTGTGTGCCATGGTGTCAAAGGAATAAACAAAATGAAAAAGGAGTGAAAGAACAATGCTTGCATTTCTTTAGGCATCTTAGGCCCCGTCCACACGGAGACGCGTTTAGCTGTATACGCATACATTTTGAATCGTATAGGCGTTTCGTCCACACGGATCCGGCGTTTTGGGAGAGTGAAACCGATATTTACTTCAAATCTTTTTATTGGTATTTTGTGTGACAATACAGATTGAAATAATGATAACAAAGTGAACAGTAGGATATTGTCCATTATTAATCCCTTCCACAATCCCCCCATTCATATTAACTCAGATAGACAGAAACACAGTAAATTAAATAATTAAACAATAACAAATGAAATAAAATAGATATAATTAACCAATATAAAAATATGAATAAATAAAAAAAAAATCCCTTCTAACAGATGACAAACATTACATGTTGCCAGTTACAGGTGCACAAGGGATCCCAAGTCTTATAAAAGGATTTGAGTGAACCAGAGAGTGAGCATCTTAACTTTTCAAGTCTGATACAGTAAAAAATGTCCTGTATCCACCTGTTATGTGTCGGGGGCGAGGTATGCTTCCACATAAGAAGGATAGCTCGTCTGGCCAAGATTGTAGCGAAAGCAACAACCTTACAATCTCGGGCTGTCAGATCAGGTCTAAAGGATACTCCAAAGAGGGCTAAGAAGGGATCAGGGTCTATATTAGTGTTGAGAACTTTATTAAATGTATCAAATACACCTGACCAGAAAGTTGCCAGCTGTGGACATGTCCAAAACATATGCAGGTGATCAGCGGGTGAATGTTTGCAGCGGTTACAGGCAGCGCTTCTGTCTGGGTAAAATTTAGCCAACTGGGCATTGGTTAAGTGGGCTCTGAATAGTATTTTACACTGCATCAAACCATGCCTAGCACATAAGGAAGAGGAGTGTACCTGGGTCAAGATGTTACGCCATAGATCCTCTGTAATAGTAACTCCTAGATCATGCTCCCAAGTATCTTTAAGAGCGTCAGTGGGGTTCACATTAATTGAATTTATTAAATTATAAATGACTGAGATTAAATGCTTATGGTTGATATTCAAATCAAGGAAATTATCAATGTGCGTTTCAGGGGGACGATTAGGAAAGTGAGGGAACTGCTTCTGTATAAAGTGTCTGATTTGGAAAAATCGAAATAAGTGATGACTGGGTAAATTATACTTTTTAGATAAAAAGGAGAAAGAGGCAAAGACTCCCTCTTCATAGAGGTCACTAATCCTGCGAAGGCCATTAGATGACAAAACACGAAATGCAGGGTCTGAACTGGATGGGGGAAAAAAATAATTGTCAAAGATAGGCATGTGAATAGAACCTCTATGTAAGCCATAATGTTTCCTAAATTGCACCCAGATTTTGAGGGTATTAGTGACTACTGGATTATTTGAGACTTTGCTTAAAACTAAGGGAAGTTGAGAACACACAATAGAATAGAGAGCACTTTTCGTCGAAGAAGTTTCTGTATGCACCCAGGGTGGACAGTTGTCAGAGTAGCTATCCCTATTCCAAAAGAGAAGCTTATGAATGTTGCAGGCCCAATAATATTGCTGGAAATTGGGGAGTGCTAGGCCTCCCTTAGCTTTAGGGAGCTGTAGGATTGACTTCTTAAGCCGAGCAGGGTTATTTCCCCACAGAAATGAGCGCAAAAGACCATCAAAGCCACTGAAGAAAGATTTAGTCATGCAAATTGGTAAGTGTTGAAAGAGGTAAAGAAATTTACGCAAAATAACAATTTTGACCAAATTAATGCAGCCTACAAGGGATAAAGGCAGAGAGGCCCATCTACACATGTCCAGCTTTGATTTATCCACAAGTGGTTGAAAATTGCTTGCAAATAAAGTATTGTAAGAGTTTGTAAAAAAGACCCCCAGGTATTTGAAACCGTCAGACGCAATCTTGAAGGGTAACGATGATCTAGGAATTTTTTTAGCTTGAGAATTAACAAAAAAAAAGTTCACTTTTTTGCAAATTTATCTTGTAGCCAGATATTCGGCTAAATGTGTCTAAAATATCCAAGCTTGGGGGCAGAGAGGTAGCGGGGTTTGAAATAATAAAAGGTCATCAGCATATAGAGAAAGTTTGTGAGCTAATCCATGACGTTTAATTCCATCAAAGCCATTGTGACTACGAAGCCAGATAGCTAAAGATTCTATAGCTAGATTAAAAAGTAAGGGGGACAGGGGACAGCCCTGCCGTGTCCCACGTTGAAGAGAAAAAGAAGGTGACCGCATACCATTAGTGAAGCTATAGTGATTCGGTTTTGTGGTTTCGTGTGGATGCAGATATTTCTTGAGACGAGGGGGAAAAAAAAAATCGGATAGGGAAAGCTCTGGCTTTGTGTGGACGTAGCCTTAGTCAGGCATAAATTGCACTTGGGACTTTGTATTGTTTCTTTGCCATGTCAATTAACTTTATCTATGTACCGTGCAAACTGCTTTTTGTTTGTGCAAGGGTTGGTATTTCTGAAGAGTGAGGCTTCTCATAACCTGTTACAAAACACAACAGAATATATCACATTTATTTATGGAGAGACTATACATACATCCCAGCCAGCAAACAAATTTGGCCCAGATTTGGCATGCATCTGACACAGCTGGCATTCATCCGGCACTGGCATACAGCATGTGGGCCAAACATGGAAAACCCTAAAACGGGAAGTTACAAGACAATTTGTAATGGGAGCTGCTGACAGAGATACAGGAAACACAGGTGATATGAGAAATCTTATTAAATAACTTTATGCATTTTTCACAATATATTTCAACTATATCATCACGAAACTGTAAAACAAAGCATACCAAAAACAAAAAAAGTGA